CCCGATGAGGGGCTTGATCCCAGGACCCCGGGATCAACGACTGAGCCACCCAGGCGCCCCTACATTTTGATGCTTTTATGGAAATTTTTCCCGCATCCTACTCCAGAGGATATTATCTTAATTTGCTAACCTGTGGTTAACATAAGCAGGCCTGCAATTTTGACTTAAATATAAATCCATTTAAGAATGTTTGTACAGGGCGCCTGGGTGGCTCAGTGGGTTAAGCGACTGCCTTCGGCTCAGGTCATGATCCTGGAGTCCTGGGATCGAGTCCCGCATCGGGCTCCCTGCTCGGCGGGGGGTCTGCTTCTCCCTCTGACCCTCTTCCCTCTTGTGCTGTCTCTCACTCTCTCTCTCAAATAAATAAAATCTTTAAAAAAAAAGTGGTGGGGCGCCTGGGTGGCTCAGTCGGTTAGGCGACTGCCTTCGGCTCAGGTCACGATCCTGGAGTCCCGGGATCGAGTCCCACATCGGGCTCCCTGCTCGGCGGGGAGTCTGCTTCTCCCTCTGACCCTCCCCCCTCTCATGCTCTCTGTCTCTCATTCTCTCTCTCTCAAATAAATAAATAAAATCTTTAAAAAAAAAAAAAAGAATGTACAGACAAAAGGCGTGGTGAAGTGGTAAGATGTGACCCATGGGACGGTCCCCCAGAACAGACGTTCTGAAGAGGTTCTAATCATAGCAAGAAGCTTCCTGTCACATGACGTTGAAAACTTCCAGGTCAGACGTTTAGGAAGAATAAATCCTACACTGAAGAATTTAATCTTAGACATTTGTTATGGTTGGCACCATTTTATTTCATTTCCTAGACTTACTTTTTTTCTCTTTTATGACCTACACCTCAAAATCGTACCTCCTACACTAATTTAATATGAAAGATAAGAACAGCTGCAGGCATTCCAGTCTAACCTCTATAGGATACAAAAATCAAAGATTTTTTTTTTTTCCCTTGATACACAAACAAAAGGTCCCCAAAGCTTATTTTCACTTACCAGGACATGCATTTCAGTCCCGCCTATGTGAGTAAAGTGGATGCTTAACTACTAAAGCAGGCAGTAGAACTGTATGAGCTACATCACTTTTGTCCCACCTCCCTTCTTCCTCCTGCTAGTAAGTGTCTGTGCCAAATACGGTGGGCAGCCACGACTGTCCTTGTTGCCATGGAAAATGGAAGATAAATCCCATTGCCTCAGAAGTGGGATGCATCTCAGATTTATGAAATACCCGACATCAATCAAACTTTAAATCAAGTTGTAACACAATTTGTTAAGACATGGTGAAAGATGTGAATTGTCTCTATCCCAATCTCTTATCTTGCCTAAAAATTTCAGGATTTTGAGGAAGTCTACCAAACTAAGTCCTTTCCCGCTTAGTATTCATGTGCTAGTGCCATTGCCCAGCCGTGAGACACGGGGGGACTGTTCACGGCTTTTGCGCATCTATCATTGCTCAAGGTTTGTGCTTTAAAGTGCTCTTTTCCTTAGCAATTTAAAGAGTAGGATTACAATTTCATGGTTTTGGCACTTCACAGAGCGATGCAATTTCTCCCACCTACGACCCTGCTTTTGCATTTGTGTGACACCTGGGGTCCTGAAAGTTGGATATCTGAAATGATTCCACAAGATTCTGTGAGCAGAGACTGAAGCTAACAGTTAAAATGTATTTTATAGAAATAAAAAAGTGAAGCATATTATAACCATGTTTCACTGTAAAAGATATTTTCTTTGAGTCTTTTAGTGTTCCTTATTTTCAAATAAGTTTCAAAGTGTTTTATAACAAGGTCCATAAGGCCCTATATCTGTGAATTAGAAGTTATCTGAAACTTCTGTTCCAGAGGCATTTTCATTTAATTTAATTTTCCACATGCACTTTAATTTCTCCACATTATGGATGGTTGGAATTCACTTAAAAGATTCGGATAGCCTTTGTAGGTCTTTAACTACTATTGTTGGAAAACAACTTCATGCACAGGGAGTTTGTGGAGAGCCTGCAAAAAGGCATTCAGAGAAGCTTTTATGCATATTTGCTGATACTGCATTTATCAGAGTAGCCTGCACCATGTTCACACTGTCATAGATTTTTTTTTTGCCCTTAACATTTATTCAGAATAAAATTTAATGTTTTCATGCACCTAAAATAATATATTGGCTATATTGTTTGTACACGCATACTCTTTTGAATTTGTTTGCCTAGAAAAATGAAATAGCAATAAAACATCAGGCTCATTTTATACATGCATGCCCATTTTAAACTTGGAGGACAAATGATACCAGTAATTAATGACCAAGTAAAACTGGGGACATCTCTTAACCACCTATATGACTCTTCATTTCTTTTTTTATTCACTTCCATGTATTTATTTAAATAAATTTTTGAGCATTGATTATGTATGAAGTCCAATCTATGTGCCTGAATCCATCAGCAAAAAACAAAGCAAGCAGAAGATTCTTGCTCTCTTATATTCTAACATGAGGAGACAGAAAGTAAAGAATAAACATAACAAACTGAAAATAAAGAGCAAGCTAAGGAGTTTGGTGCTGGAAGGGCAGACTGCAATTTTAAACAGGCTGGTCAGAATGGGAGTCACAGAGAAAGTGACAGCTGTGCAAAGGCGTGAAGAACATGAGGGTGGTACCCCGTGGGAATAATTGGGGGAAGAGTGTTCTGGAGGGCAAATAATTTGGGGCAGGAGCTTGCCTGTCGTATTCAAGGAATAGTCTGATGTTCGTATATTCAAAATAAAAAGGCAATAAAACTTGTTTCATTCAGTCTTCTATCCCTGGGCTACAGTTACCATGCACCAGATCATTCTTGCTTATAATAAACTAGTAAGTTCTCATAAATATTATTTCAATTTTATATGCACTTGTTTATATTCACCACATTTCCATGCATTTTTTATCTACATTTTTTCATTATATTGTAAGCTTCTTCAGGATAAGAAATGGGTCCTCTACTCATTATTTTTCTCTATTCTGTTTTCTAGACCCAAGAGACATTCAACAAATGTTATTAACTGTAGACAGGAAGAAAAAAGATTTAAGAATCTTAGTTTTAAAACTCCAGCCATGGGGCGCCTGGGTGGCTCAGTTGGTTGAATGTCTGCCTTCGGTTTGGGTCATGATCTCGGGGTCCTGGGATCGAGCCCTATGTCGGGCACTCTGCTAGGCGAGGAGTCTGCTTATCCCTCTGTGCTTTCCCTCTCTCTCTCAAATAAATAAAATCTTAAAAAAAAAAAAAAAAAAAAAAACAACTGCAGCTTTGTTTCATGAATCACAGTGGTCAAATCTTTTGGTCTTTGCCTTAGTTTCCTAAAGCACAATTGAAAACCAACTAATAAGTTGTTAAATACATGAAACATTGTATAAATGTGAATTAAAATATGGTTCTTATTTATATTCCACAAAGATATGAATAAGAAATCAGAGAGATAAATGCAGAAATCTGAATACAGCTTTTCAGGAAAAAAAAAATCAGCTTAAAGAACATTGAGAAAAAAATGCTTTAGATGGTGTGGCCAGTGATGACATTCTGTGACCTATTGACCTAGATCTTCAGCTCTGATGAAGCTCAATACTAGTTACCTCGATGGTACGGTGATTAGGCCCTTGGGAAAGCTTTGCCTTCCACATTGATCCACTTCATGCTTTGCCTTGTTCTAGAATCATGTCTCTCCTCACTCTTAACCTTGCCAACTTTTCATATGAATCCCAAACTTGCAGTGAAATGATGAGTACAGTCCATAAATATTGTATTTTCTTAGTTCTAAGATGCCTCATAGATCACTGATGTCGGGACTCTCTCTGATTTGTGTGCTGATCTGACTAGGGATAAACCCCAAAATTATTTTATTTAACATATATCATTCTAAACATTTTACTATTTCCAAATTGCCAAAAGAAGTATGGACAAATTTAGTAGACAGACTGCTGGTGAGAAATATTAAATGAGGTCATCATAGAATATTATTTCCTTTTCCACACAAAGCCAAGCTGCTTTGAGTCTACCTTTCTTATAGGCACAGACAATGGACAGATTTTATTTCATTTAGGGACACATAAAACATCCTCCCATTCAACCTACTATTGCAAATTGTACATTGTCATTCATTATTCATTCATTCCATATCTAATTTATTTTCAGCTATATACTTTGGATTGTGCTAGATGCTGGGAATATTAAGATAATTAAGACAGTCTCTCTGCCTTTTAGGAACTTAAGGCCTAGTGGTGGAGAAATAAAGGTTGATAGGCTACTTTGGCCAGGGCTTTCTAGAATATTTTGTTTCAAAGGTGTGGAAACCAAGGAAATGATCCATGCTTACCAAATTCATAAGACCTAATGTAGAAACCAGTTGATTGCCTATTTACAAATGTAAAGTTAATGATATTGCCTCAGACTAATGTGAATACTCATAATCACTATCCAGAGAAACCTTTCCCAATACCAGATTACAAGAGAAACCAAGTTGATATTCAGAAGGTGGCCTGGTGAGCATGGTATTAGAGTAAAGAAATCTGAATGCTCTTAAGCTATAGTCAGGCTATAGTAAATACTGAGGAACCAGCCCAACCCTTACAGCCTAAATTACCCCCACCATGACTCAACAGTCAGTTTCTCTAGATATAATATCTCTGCTATTTTACTGTTCAGGCTAGCACAGCCAAATCTTGCTCCTCTCTCCCCTAAGCTCGTTGGATGTTTGTAAACACTTATTTTCTTCAGGCCAATTAATATATATTTGTTTCTGTTTGAGTTAGTGCCATCCATTCACTTGGGGTAGGCAACAAAGGCATGGTGCGATCAGCGTGCTTTCTTGAGACTTATCTTAGGCAGCTGTCCCTGGCTTACCTCCCACTTTTTAATACTAATCCTTAGGCATGCTATATGTATTTAACTATATTGGCAGAAAAATATGATTTGCAGTAAGCTACTGCAACTAATACGTTTCATGACTTTTAAATTTTCCAAAACTGACCTCTTTCCTTCTTTCCTTCTAGGTTGTAAAAATGATGATAATTGTTGTGGTGACATTTGCCATCTGCTGGCTGCCTTATCATATTTACTTCATCCTCACTGCAGTCTACCAACAGCTAAATAGGTGGAAATACATCCAGCAGGTCTACTTGGCCAGCTTTTGGCTGGCAATGAGCTCAACCATGTACAACCCCATCATCTACTGCTGTCTGAATAAAAGGTAGACACAAAATTACCAAGCCCAAGTTTCTTGTCACTCCTGGCTTAGCTGAAAGCATATCATTTTGTTCCAGCTCCTTGGTGCAAATTAAAAATGCAAATGGAAGGAAAAATTTAAAAATTCACTGAGAGGAGTACAGAGCTTGATTTTTTTTCTAGACTTCCTCCTACTTAATGAAATAAAAATCCCACCTTAACAATTACGTCCTCAAAACAGAACTTAGAAGCTCTAACTGGGAAATTTTTATATGGCCTAAATTCTCCCTCCAGACCCTTCAGAATTTTGTCAGCTAAGAAAAAAAAAAAAATCCATCATGATTGAAGGAGGTGAGTTGAATATGTGCTCAAGTCCTCAGAGAAATGAAGACACTTCATAAAAATATACAGATAATTTTTATAAGATGGGGAGAAATGATGGCATATGTGAGTGGACTCTATTAACAAGGATGTCTTGTAAATAGACTTCAAAATAGCAGCTGTTGCTGTGAGGGTTATAGAATCAACAGTAAGGTGAGGAGAATTCCAATCCTCCTGCCTGTACAATGAGGTCAATGAGTAAGACAGGGTGCAGTCTCCATGGAAACGGGCTGTGAAGAAATTAAAGTGGTCAGGGCAAAGCTACTTTTATAGTAAAGTTTTTAAAAGGCAGTATTTGACTATAGTCAAATTTAAGACTGGAAAGGAAGGTAAAATGTTTCCAGATAAAAACACCTTGATTGTATGTATAAAACACACGGAGGGGCAGGGTTAAATTTCATAAGATTGGTAATTCCCTGAAGAAACCAATGTGTTCTGAGCACAACTAGAAATAGAACTTCATGTAAGTAACTGTAAGCCAAATCCTAAACTCTCTTTCCAGTTGGGCCTCCACTACACTGTGCCTAAGTTTGTTAAACACTTAATTCTTCCTTTTTTTTTTCATTAATTGCATAAGCCATATATCAATTCAAGCTACCCCACAAGCAGTACATCTGTTTTTAATCAACTTCACTTAATGGTTTACAAAGCAAAGGATTTTGTGCTTTCAGATATAATTAGACAAAAACCGTCAAGATTAGTAATTAATTCTAACATTAAATGAGACTTTAATGTATAAATGTGTAATCATTTCCGAAAGAAGCTATTCTGAAATATGTCATTTTTAAGTGCCTTAACCACCAAGCCTAATTCAATCACACTTCTGCAAACGTATAAAATTACTGAAGAAGTATACACTGTTTCTTTGGCATAAGGATTACCTGACGCTGTGCTTTTGCTCTTCCATGACTTGCTTCTCATTGATAGGAAACTAAAATTCAAACCAGAAAGCTTAAAAGACTAGTACCAATACTGTGGCATACATTTAAGAGTTGGAAATCAAATTCAAAACTTGATTTTGCTTGGGACGCCTGGGTGGCTCAGTCGTTAAGCGTCTGCCTTCAGCTCAGGTCATGATCCCAGGGTCCTGGGATCGAGTCCCACATCGGACTCCCTGCTTAGCGGCGAGTCTGCTTCTCCATCTCCCACTCCCCCTGCTTGTGTTCCCTCTCTGGCTGTCTTTCTCTCTGTCAAATAAATAAATAAAATCTTTAAAAAAAAAAAACAAACTTGATTTTGCTGGATTGCCTTAAGTAGGGCTTTCTGTGGCAATTGAAGGACATTTCCACTTGAAAACATGACTTTTTCTTTCTGTGGCCTGCTTCTCTTCAGATTTCGAGCTGGCTTCAAGAGAGCATTTCGCTGGTGTCCTTTCATTGAGGTTTCTAGCTGTGATGAGCTGGAGCTCAAGACCACCAGGTTTCACCCCACTCGGCAAAGCAGCCTGTACACAGTGATCAGGATGGAGTCCGTGACAGTGGTGGTTGAGCCCAGTGAGGCAGACAACACCAGATCCGGTCAGAAGAGGAGAGCGACGCCAAGAGATCCAAGCTTCAGCGGCTGCTCCCGCAGGAATTCCAAGTCTGCCTCCACCCCTTCAAGCTTTATGAATTCGCCCTATACCTCTGTGGACGAATACTCCTAAATTCATTTCCTGAAGTGAGAGAGTCGTGTGAGGGCATCATGGTGTCAGCATAAGCCCCTATTCTCGTGTTTAGCAGTCCTGTCCTACCTACTCTCTGGAAACAGAGGGCAATTTGGGGCAGCTGCGCTTCAACTGAGGCAGGTAGAATAGAAAGGTAACAGAGACACTATTCAGGTATTTGTCCCCTCAAAAACAAAATGGGCTTTCCATTTATTCTTTGAAAACTCTAAATTATTACATGCAACAAACCAACAATAGATCTGAAAAATACTTCTAAGGTGTTACACTTTTCTCATCTAAACATTGCAATTCTTTTTTTTTTTTTTAAGATTTTTTTTTTAATTTATTTATTTGACAGAGAAAGACACAGCGAGAGAGGGAACACAACCGGGGAGTGGGAGAGGGAGAAGCAGACTCCCTGCCGAGCAGGGAGCCCGATGCGGGACTCGATCCCGGGACTCCAGGATCATGACCTGAGCCGAAGGCAGTCGCTTAACCAACTGAGCCACCCAGGCGCCCCTATTTAAAGATTTTTATTTATTTAAGAGAGAAAGAGTGAGAGAGAGAGAGATTACGAGTAGGGGGGGAAGGGTCAGGGAGAAGCAGACTCCCTGCTGAGTAGGGAGCCTGAAATGGGACTCAATCGCAGGAACGTGGGATCATGACCCGATTGGAAGGCAGACGCTTAACCGACTGAGCCACCCAGGCGCCCTAAACGTTGCAATTCTACATTTATGACACTAAAGTGACATATGATTTCTCCAAGAGATTAAAGAAACTTTAAAAACATAACGTTGTAAGTGAATAAAAACAAAATCTATATAAATGAAACATTTTCATCTGTAGCCATAAAACAGAAAAAAAGTAAATGACTCATTTTCCCATTGGAATGAAGGAAAATTGCCTCAACGAGTAGGAATTAATGAAAATCTTTGCTCAAATGAAAATTGTAGAATGAAAAATTTTAAAGATTTAAAGAGTTTCTCCATGAAATGTAACTGGAAAGGAAATCTAGCAAAAGTATTAGATAGCGGTACCTGTCCTTCTCTTTATTATTTTCTCCGAGAAAATGGCTTCAAAAGAAAAAATAACCCTTTACTTTCTGACCATTATATAAAGTACCAAGCTAAGAAATAGTCAAAGTTAGGACCTTAAAAGGACAAAGCAAATTCCTATGATCCTCTTTACTTTATTTTTCACAAATATTTAAAAATTTTTAGCAAACAGGCAGATTATAAAACATTAAAGATGCCTTCTAATGAGAAGGGAAGAAGCCCATTTGTCTCTGAAACTGGCTACCAATTTTTAGGCAAGAATTAAAGATCGTAATTCATAATTCTGATGGCAGGCAGGAACACCTACCAGCTCCAAAGGAAGAAGTGTCTCTCCCCATAACTCAAGGAAAAAGCTTAAGATGGACATCGACTTTATCAATTGTATAGTGTCCTTCTCCTACCCTCTCCCTGCATTGAAAAAAAAGCAAGGACTAGGGGAGGTATCAGAAAATATACTCAAATGCAAATCCTTAGAAAAGTAACTCTACGTACCACCTATATGTACTAATAAACATCTGTAGAAAGGTGAATCAACTTTTAGAATAGAAAGCAGAACAAGAGTGGATATATGTGAACTACTACCAGGCAGACGAGAGTATAATGCACACCTTTCCACAGAGAGCTTTCCTTTTGTCTATTTAAATAATTCAGGGCGCCTGGGTGGCTCAGTTGGTGAAGCGACTGCCTTTGGCTCAGGTCATGATCCTGGAGTCCCGGGATCAAGTCCCGCATCGGGCTCCCTGCTCGGCAGGGAGCCTGCTTCTCCCTCTGACCCTCCCCCCTCTCGTGTGCTCTCTCTCATTCTCTCTGTCTCAAATAAATAAATAAAATCTTTAAAAAAAAAAAATAAAATAAAATAAAATAAAAATAAAATCATTTTCTTAGGGCGCCTGGGTGACTCAGTTGGTTAAGCGACTGCCTTCGGCTCAGGTCATGATCCTGGAGTCCCGGGATCGAGTCCCGCATCGGGCTCCCTGCTCGGCAGGGAGTCTGCTTCTCCCTCTGACCCTCCTGACCCTCCCCCCTCTCATGCTCTCTCTCTCTCTCAGTCTCTCTCTCAAATAAATAAATAAAATCTTAAAAAAAATAATAATAATAATTCAGACATCCCCCAGAAAGAAATGAGCTAATGGTCCAAAAGAAGCATCTGTTTACTATAAAAAAATTTACTGTCATATTTCTAAGAGCCATAACACAAAAAAAGTACACTTTAAGTGTAGAATTCAGTGCTATAATCATCTTTTTTTGAATAAAAATACTGTCAGTTTTGCTCCAAAAAGCAGAAACCTGAGAATGTGTATGTACAATACAAACTTTTCAAGAAGTTTAAAATATTCAGTTAGATTTTTTTAAAGCTACCCAGCTAAACTAATTACCTGTAATGTTTTACTGGATTTTTATGCCTCCATCAACATAGAACCAACTATTGTTTTGAAGAACAAGATAAAAGCAATTATTCAAAAGCAAATCATGGTCCATTGCTGCCACTACATTAAATTTTCCAGTCCTCTTTCCTATTTTGGGCCCAAAGCCAGAAATAACTGATTATTACAAAGTGCTAAAAAAAAAAAGTCTATACAACTCCACCATGTGTTTAAGCTGATTTCTTCTGATTGTACCAATAAACAGACACACATATATACACTCACAGGTGTGTAAATACAATCATTCTAATGTATGTAGCAGCTTCAAAGAATTAAATTCAAAATTGAATGCCAAAATAGTAAGTGGTTATTACAGAGTTGCCACAAAAAGATCAACAAATTCTATGAAGCTTGTGTGCATGCTTTGGATAAGCAAATTTATCATTATTTATCATTATTTAGTATTTAATTGTTGAATATAATTTTTTAAATGTTCATTCCAAAACATGTAAATGCTTATCATACAATGTTAAAGTGTCGAGAAAAAGTCTAATACTTTAAAGCAAACATTATCTTCTTAAATTTACAGATGATTATGAGAGTAGCATTAACATTCTAGATACATGGGGCCATATTCAGCTGCAGAACGTGAATGTGAAGTTTGGCCCTCAGGTTCACTGTAGTCAGCCACCACCAGATAGAGTTTGAAAAACCTAATTCCTGGCCTTCATATGTTAGGAAAATTTAGTATAATTTGCTAGGACATCTATGGAAAAACATCGCTTCAATCCGCTGTTTTGTTTGGTTTATTTTGGTTTTTGTTTTATGGGGGTTTTCCAGTAGATTTGTTGTTGCTGTGCTTACCAAGTTTCATCTTTTGAGTGTGACAGAAACACCTTAGGTCCAGATGGCACCAGGAAAACTGACATCGTTAACTCAATATTTATGACCTTAAATGAAAACTTATGAAGCAGAATTTTTAAGGTCAAAAGTTAAAAAAAATAATATTAAAATCAGAACAGTGTGAAAGAGAGAAGATTTTAGTCCTTTAGTCTGAATTGACACTGAGAATTATAGAATAACACATATGAAATCATTTTCAATAGAGGTGACTTTAAATAAAGCTATGCTGATATGTTCACATTTGTCAGGGCTTGGAATAATTTACCTCCAAAATTCACCCTACTCTCTGATGTTAAAGTTTACTCCAAATCTTTTCCATTCTTTGAAGGTAAAAACTGACTAGAAATACTAGGCAAATGGTTAAAACATCCTAGGATATTTTGGATTTAAGTCAGCAACAGAAAAATACAAAATCTTTTGAGAAAAATCTGAGGGAATCAAAAAGACTTGCATCATTTTAAATATTTTTTTAAAAGACCAAAGTAAATAAATAATGAATGTTGTATTTTCATTATTTTGCATCTGGAAAAAGTGTTTTTGAAATTACCTGCATAGGAAAAAATTAAAGCAAACATGATTATTGTAGAATCTTATCTAACATCTTTTATTTTTTAGCAAGCTCAGTATGCTGCTGCAGTTTTCCATCTCCCAACTTCATGATGGTGACATTTCTGACCCAGCAGCCAAATTTGTATTCTTCTCCAGATCCTGCCAATCTCTTATCAACAGAGATCCGACCAACTTCAGGGTGACCTCCATGCTTACCAAGCACAAAGAAGAATGCCAAGAAGCTTAGCATCAAACCTCAGAAGTACAAAATAAATGTGAAAAATCAATGCTAGCCAGCTCAGATTTGAACTTGAATTTTGTTAATGCAGAATTTCATCAAAAAACTTCTGATTAGTGTCTGGTAAATTATTCCATCAAATGCAGTCAGGAGAGTTACAATTTCTCACACTTTTAACAGTAACAAATTGAGATCCCACTTGTTGCTGATAGCATTCTTACAGTTAAGGAAATGAAGCATGACACTGGCCATGTAGAATAATGTTGTAATAATTTCCCTTAGGGCTAAGCAGGAATGAAGAATAAAGTACAATAGCTCTGTACAAGGTCAGTGGTTGTGTGTTATAAAATAGCTTGGCAAAAATTCTGTGTATATAAGAAATAAATGAATATAAAGTTTGTAGCTAGTGAATAAAGTATTTTTAAGTTGTTCTAGTTATACTGAATAGTTTAATACATTCATACCCTTTGTATATGTGGTAATATGTGACAGATTTGATTTTGCTTTTTTCTTTAAAAGTATTAAAAATAATATTAAAAGCAAAAGCAGTCCTAATATTTTCCTCCTGGCTAGCAAAAAAAGGTCCTAAGTTGTCTGAACACACTCACCCTCAGAACTATATTGCGCGTTGCTTTCTTCCTTAGTTTTCCTCATTGAAAATATCTAGTTTTCCTTAGTTACCTTGATGCAGGAGAAAAACATCTATGGAAAGAAAAGTTATCAAAATGTAGAAAATACCCTGTGTGGAGAGCACATGAACTGGAATATAGAGTATAGAGCATAGCATTTTAGAGCTACAGCATCAGGTCTCTAACAAATGACGGACGAGTTTAAAGCTAAGCCTCACCAACTGAGAGCTGGGGAGCCTGGGGCAAGTGGTTCTGCTCTGAG